ATTCAGTCTCAAATGATGGTGATATTTTAACTCTGTATGATTAATCTCCAGATCTTATGAACACAAAGATGGAAGCATCAGCTGTGGCCGTACAGTGATGCACATGGTCAGCAACAGTACTCAGATGAAGGGTCCAGAGTCATTCCCCACACCAACCAGTGCTTTTCTATTTTAAAGAGTGATTATCTGAGTGATGACCACCTTCTCCTCTGACCTATATCAACACAGCACTTGAACCACTGAACAGTTTGTTTCGTGTCTTTATACTATTCTTGAAAATCCAAGGTTAGGAGCAGTTTCATCAAAACACAAACCAGCCAGTCTGACGTGAACAGTGAACACCACTGAGATCACAGTTCCCCTTGTTCTGATGTTTGACGATGAAGGACATCAGGTCATATGGAATAAAAAAAAAAAAGATTGATGCACACAACAAACAGGACAGGAGAAAGTACAAACCTTAGGAAATCGTTTATTAAACAATTGTTATGTCAAGTCCATTAAATCATTAGCAACAGCATGAGAGCGACACTTAATACACATGTCATTGTTAGAATATGATCTCTAATGAATAGGGTCTGTTGTGAAAAGGACTTTAATTCCTCATTGATCATCCAACTCCACCCTCAGGATCAGTATCACACATCTGGACTGTAAACAAATGTTATTTCTGGCCCTACATAGTTTACAAAAAGATTCTGATATTCGTGCTTTGCCTCTGGGCTCGTGCATGTGGTCTCTGAGTGAAAGGTGCCTTGTATACACGGCACGTTGTTTCTCAAACCTCTCTCGCTCCCTGCTGTAGCCTCTTTTTCTGTGCTTAAGTGGATAACCATGTTGAAAGTGATTTTTACGTCAGCCTTTTTCGCTCCTTCTACCATCTGTCACTGCCAGTCTCTCTGAAAGCTTCAGCTTTCTAAGCACTGGCAGAAGGGTGCCCTCTCTGGCCACAAAGCAAACAAGCAAATTTCACTTCTTCCTCACAGTGGAGGACTCGCAAGATATTAATCTGCCGCTTACTTGTCTCTAAAGCAGAAACAGGATATTTTTGTACTTGCGATATCTTGTTTCTGTAGTGCTTTGATGACAGTATTTTTGGTTCAGTTACAGTTTCAAAGAAAGATTGTTCTCTGCAGAAAAATAGGAGCATCAGTCATTCATCCCAAAACATATTTATCCCAAGTGTGGTGGTTTCAATAAATACAAAGACAGACAGAAAAAGAATGTGATTGGTTCTAAAAGACCACGATTCAGCTTTGATCACTATGATCACCCTGCCTTAGCAAATTACTTTTAGTTGCTAACACTTGTGCTGATGTGTATCGATCATAGTCCCAGTGTTTCTATGCGATCTCTCGTAGTGGGATGTTTTACATGCTCATCAAAGATCCCTTCAGTTCCACGTGAAGGACAAATACCCCCTGCAGGGATACTATGAATTCAAAGTTTATGATGAGAGAGAGCAGATCCTGCAGATTCATGAGGAAGGTAATGACCAATTTCGGATTTTTTTTTATGTTGGTATGAGGACGTCCCACCTTCAGTTCACAGAATATGTTTTAGAAATAACTGATGGCTGCCAGCATAGAAACATATGATATATTTTTTTAAATGAAAAGATGAAGCTGACATTATTCTAGATTTTCTCTTCGTATCTCATGAAACACCAGCGAGTTCTTTCCCCTTTTTGTGGCTCCTCTTGTAGAATTAAGTAAAATCTTTAAATATGGGTTTGTACTTTCAGCTCAGTAATTCTCCACAACAGTTGGACACTTTATTTTTAGCAAACATCACTCAAACAAGAGGAAAAAGTCAACTCGTCTAGTGTGGATTTGTGCTTTTGGTATTTCACAGCTGTTTGCATTATAATCAATAACCACTCTGAGCTTCCAGAGACTCCACTTACAGATACACTGATAAACTGGAAAACAAATAAAAAGATTATTAGGAAAATTAGCTTGTTCATTGAAGGGTGCAGTGATTATCACCTCCCATTTCATACCTAATGCTCTCGATTGCGCAATGATCCGCTCATTGTTTCCAAGCAGTTTGCGTTTCTCTGCAAATCTCCTTATTTACAAGGCATCAGCGAGGCGGGGGCTGCAGCCTGGAGGATAATGTCAACTTTCCTATTCAGTTATTGACAGGCAGGCTTCTCAGAGAGCGAGTTATTTTCTAAAGAGGGAGTTTTTCTAGCCTCGACCTGCAACATTTAGCTTGTCTGCCCCATTAGACAGTGACCTTCATACTAATGCCGACCACAGCAGCCAGCGCCAACGCACCTAATTCATCCTCGGCTCTGCAGAGATCACAGAGACATAAAGTGCCAGTATAAACTGGTGCATTTTTAGATATTATTCACCTTAAAATTGCTTCTTTTGGACATGAGAAACCTTGTGGGTGTCCATGACTCTTTGCCTGTGATGAAAGCATCAGCATGAATCCATGATTTTCCATACAGTCTGTAAGTTGGAACCCTTCCCTGACCTTAATATTTTTGTTAATGCTGCTTTTTTAAAGGTGTGAACCGTTCGCTTCCCACCAGCAGCTCACCTTAGTGAATTTGTGAAATACATTCTCGCTCTATTCCTGTAAAGTCAACCTAAATTTGACTTCCTCTCCACACATCCAATTTCCTGACCTCACCTGCCGACTATACAACTCTCAGAAAAGCTCCAGGAGGTTTTCGCAGAGCAGGGGGGGTTGTTGTCATAGTTACAGAGCCGGCAGGTGACATGCTGCTGGGATTGGTAGTCTATCATTGCCTACATCTGATCTGTATCTTTATGATCTTGATCTTGGGCCATAGAACAACCAGGTCTTTTATTTCTATCACCATATCAGCCTCTGTTTTCAATTTCTTTGCTCCAAATGTCTCATTCAATGATCTCACTCTGGGAATTTGCAAAAAGGTTTATTTAATCACAAGAGATGGTCGGACTGATCAAAAACAACACCTATGGCTATCTCACTCCGGGCTGTTTTTCTTGTATTTAAAATTCAAACTGAAAATCAGTCAGTTAGTTATCCATCTACGTCTGCACTATAATTCTTCATACGACTAAATGAGCTGAGCCAGATCCTGTTTTGAAGAGTGGAAACATGGTCACAACACACCCAGAGATGTAATGTCAGGGTTATTGCATTAAAGGCAGTGGAAGCTGCTGCAGAAATAGAGGAAATCCCATTTGTGAGGTCAAAATTCAATTGGTGTAGTTAAATATTGCTCAGTTTTGACAGTGGATATGTCAAGATGTGGTGCAGTTCATATTGCGAGGCCCTCGCTCCAATTTAAAGATGCACTCCTCGATCTCATCATAAAACACAATCGTGCTGCATCATCAGTAACTTCCCCACATTGTCACTTGATGTATTAGCTGCTTAGCCCAGTTTACTGTACTTCAACAAACAAGAATGCCATGGGTATCAGGAAATCAGTCAAAGGGCGATGGAATTTTACACCTGAACATCAGTTTGCTTGTATTTAATATTATGGGAAGTGTTGGAGCACAGGGTGTTCCCCTTGGTGTAGTTTCACACACAAACACACACACACACACAGACTGAATGACTGTACGCTGGGAGCCAGTCACCATAATGTAAAGACACCCAGCCGGCCAGGTTCTATCCATTTACACTTCTGTCACACACCGTTCCAAAGCCCACAGCTCTGTCAACAGAAAAAAAATCAATCGGTACCTCATCAATTTGCATTTATGAATTAATGAAATGAACATTGTGCATTTAATTACTGCAGACTGGTGCTATTTCTGCCACTGCACACGAAACAAGTTATTCAACCCAAAGTGCATCTGTCGATATGAATATATCTGTGTGCTGTTCATAGTATTACATCAGTTTGCATATATCTGTATCTGTGCATGTTAATGCAACTGTTGTGTGTATGTGTTTATCCACATTGTGTATTTTCTTGATAAAACACATGAGCACCGGGAAACATTTTATTATCAAAATGTTTTTTATTTAGTTTCTGCAGAGTTCTTTTCTGTCGTTGGAGTCACACTGTGTAATGCAAGTCACCGGCCCTAACCTCTGGCCCACAGCTGGCCCCAGCATTAATATGTTGACTTATTCAAACCCACTGAGCCTTATGTTTACAATGTTAAACAAGACATCTGGTGCGTTTTACATTTATGAGCATCATACCCACAGTGGTACGATCACCATACTGTGTCGTAGGGTGTGAAGGTTTTTATTTTTTTACCTTCTGCTTACGGGGAATTTTAAGAGTGAAAATGACGGATCTTCCCAAAAATTTCCCTCAGAGAAAAAATTAAATATTCATCACATTCCTGAAATATGGACGAGGCATGGAGGCACAGTATGAAAGATTCTGCCTCTTATTCCTCCAATAAAACACTAAGTGAAGCTACTGCCATTGATAACACTTGACTGTCTGTGTTTTCCTAACACTCACACACACACACACACCAATAACATATGTGTAAACATGCAGCACAACATGAATTTGTAAACGAATATATTGTACAAGTACCAAGACACCCTGGCATGACGTGTGATATCACACACATACGCATACACGCACGCACCTGGAGAGGGTGGCACGAACTCATGGATACATCTCTCCTATCAGACACTGGACACATGGATGAAGGAGTGATGTCATGTCTACAAACATTAACCTCTTTAAATTTGAAACTTTCTAAATAGCAACAAGTTCCCAACTGTCCACTGTTGCCTCCCCATGGACTCACAGATCATTCATGTATTAGTTTCTATTTCTGGCAGCTCTGTCGTAGCAGTGCAGCTCTGTGCCAGCTCCACATCACCTGCATGCATCTCCTCCTAAAAAGAAACTTGTAAAACTCTCAGAAAAGCAACTTCAACTATTTTCCACTCGGGAGGAAAAAGTGATTTTCCAACAGGTCGCACACACAGAGCAACATGCTTTATGGGAATGAGAAGACACCAATTAAACTTTGAGGGTGACGTGAGAGGAAAAAGAAGTAGTGGCTCACCAAATCTCAAGACATGTGGCATCCCATGAGAATATCCCACACAGTGTAATAGCAGCAGTAGAAGCCTGACGGTGCACCCGAGTCTCGCACCAAACATCAGCAAGGAGGCGATCTTCATGGTGCTTGTGTGCTGCACAGGATTGTTAATCCCTGAATCGGTAAATCCCCAGATTTTGTTCTTTCTTTCACCCCTTTAACGTGAAGCAGGGCGACTGCAAGATCACGGCATGGTCACCACCGGCGGGCTGGGCAGCGGTTTCCCCACATCCATTTGGCCAAAACAAAGAAAAAGAAAAAAGCACTGCGTGTCCGGCTCACTGCGCCAAGGAGAGACAGCCCTCCGACTCAGCTGAGGAAGATGACGGTGGAGGTGGTGGTGGTGGAGGTGGCGGGGCGTCCATGTTAGGCAGGGCAGAGCTTGAAGGAATCCATCTAGAGAGAGACACAGGCAGAGATTGGAGAAGGGGTGAGAGGGGGAGAGCGGCAGCCTCGCCAGCCCGAGCTCCTCCTGCTGCACTGCCGCACAGCATCTGACGTCGAGCCAACACTAGGAGCGGGAGAGCGCACGGAGCGGATCGGGCATGTTTCTCGGCTCCCGCTGACCACAGTGATCGGAACCTCCTGCCTAAAGTGTCATGCCTCCCCCCCAACTCCTCCCGCACACCTCCCCTTCCTTCCTCCCCTCTCTTCGCCCGATGTCGTGTCCCCGGTCAGCCGAGCCGCTACTCGCCGGTCCCCACTCAGGTTTCTCCTCGGTTCGGTTGGCCTCAATGGCCGTAGCTGGCAGCGGCGCGCCGTCGTGTACAGCCACATAAAGCCAATCTATAACCGTGGAGGGACCGCCTGTTTCTGATAGGAGTCACTCAGGCTTGGGCTCGTGTGAGGGCTCCGTGAACCGAGCCTGTCACCGCGCACTCAACATGATGAATGGCCTCTGTTGTTTTCCACACTCACTGGAATTATGACTTTTTTTTTTTTACCCTCGACTTTTTCCAATAAGTGCGAGCCCCTCGTCATCAAATGTTGATTTCGTGTGTTTCGTTACACTTTGGGATCCCATTAACTATCTGCTTTTATATAACTATTGAATTACTGGCATGGCCTGACAGAAGAGGACGCTTCCTCAGTGTATTTCCACAATAATATCTCTCCACAGGCTGGACTGTGGCCTCTCACCTGTTTTCTTTTTTTCTTTTTTTTTTTTTACAAATAAGTCACGAAATTTAATCTGGATTTTCTCATGTTCCAATAGATTTCTTGACACACGCAGCAGCACGTTTTACTGCTGTATTCACAAGTTGTGTAAATGTTTATGCAGCGATTTCCCTCAAATTCCGCTGCAAGATAATTTAAACGTGGGGTGAATAAAATTGAATTGGCCCAATTACAAATTGTCAGCAATATTTACTAAAGAGAATGAACAGCAGCAGGTTTTCCGGAGAACATTAGATTTTCTAATCTCGTCACTTCATTGAATATCTCTAAGAGTTACGACACACTGTGGATGTGGTTTATTCTTGAGGCCACAGTTGTTTAAAGAGTGTTTGCCTCGAGGAGCTTTCAGCAGCACACACACTGTGTTTGGGTCCAGTGTGGTTATAGGGGCACAGTGGACAGCCACCTTTAAATGAGGAAATGAATGGAGTTCGATTCAGCACCACGGACAGAGACAGTGTTTTGCAGAAGTCGGCGCCTGGATGCGGTTCTAGCACCACGGACAGCTGCTCCGTGGCGCTCCTCTGCTCGGTGCGGCTCCTCGTGTTTGGACCGGATCCACACGATGACACGATTAATGCCCAAAGGTTAAATATTGTTCCACTGTGCCGCCTGCCCCCACATTAACATTCATTTATTGAGGCCAACACTCCACCCGGCTTGGCTGTCCCACATTTCGGGGGAAGCTGTAATGAATATAAGTTGTACCCTCAGAATAAATGTGATTATATATTTATTTATTCAAAATTGCATTTTTAAAAACTACGACATCGTCCAGTCCAAAATTGGAACAGCATGCAGGTGAACCCACAGGCAGATTTCTCATTTTGAACAGTGTATTTATATTTCATTTCTAACTTCTAGATTTCAGAGGTTGTCAGAGAAACGAAGACAAAAAACACACATTTCAGATTTGTTTGTCTCTCTACGTGCAATGACAGGCCTGAATGAGCATTAATTCACTTCACACAGAGGTCATCAGAAGAAGCAGCAGCCAAATATTAACAACGTCAAGGCGCAGTTCTCTTATAGTCGTGCGTAAAAGCCAGTAAGGTGGTTGTGGATGTTGGCAGCAGTGCACATAATCATCTGTATTTTTTTTTACCCAGCTCTTTTTACACATGAAGGCATAGCTCCACAAATGCCCCTTTGTGTATTTCTAAAGGGCTTTTTAAACAGGCTGAGCGGAGTCCCTCCACGGGGCAAAGCTGTGCGATGATAAAGTTGATTTAAAGCTAATGTGCTCGTCAACTGTGGGATTTAAATGCGCGTCTTGCCTCCGCAGGTTCCCATGCAACCTCCGTGAAGTAGAGACGTTCTCTACGGATCATTCATAAAGCGGATAACGGATGGCATTTAACGACCCCCATAATGTCTTTCAACCCCACAACAGTGAAGGCATCAGCCCGAGGAGGAGGAGGAGAAGGAGAAGGAGGAGGAGGAGAAACCCGAAAAGGTGACAAGCGTCCCCACATAGAGGTCGGGCAAAGACGCAGGAGGTCACGTCTCTCCAAGGGGGTTTAAAATCACACAGTCAGAGCCTATTTCTGAGACATTTCAATCGTATTTTTCCGCTCTGGGTGTGAAGCTTAAAGCCCTTTTTGCTCCCATGAACTCACGGATGAACTTCAAACCTGACCGGAGAGGTGCGTCGCGGTGTTTTCTGCGCGTTTTGCCGGTTGGAAAACGATATGGAAAAAGCTTCAATAGATAAAAGCTGCTCCTGAAAGGACGTAACGCGTGAAAATAAAAAGAAAGCGCATGTAAATAGATGTAAAGTTTGAAAGAATGGGCGTACCTTAGGTAGAGCTGGAGCCGGGAAGAGTCACCAGAGCAGCACAAAGAAGTTGATTTGGCCGTGTCGCTTCCCCCGCACTCGCATCTGGTAGCGCTGCGCTCCGGCCGTAGGGGAGACACGCCTCCTGTCGGACGGCAGTACTCACTGCTTAAAGCAACTGGGTGGGTGGGGGAGGCTCACCGGATCAGGGGGAGTCACCGGCACAGAGGCTGCAGCTTCCCCGGCGGAGGACACTGGGTGTCAGCTCGGAGTGAGGCGCATTATAAGCCCTTATCCGCCGGATAGTTTGGAGCCTGTGCGCATTTGCACGGTGAGCAGGTGAACCATTGTAATGCAGATCATTATAATATGGGAACCTGAGGGTCCAGCCTGGTCCTGTAGCTTGGTAAAATGTCAGGAATCTAAATAAATACGCCCCAGAAAATGTGTTTTCCCCCTATATAAGATGACCTTTATAAAATAGTTCTTTACTTGGTCAGCCATCATTCCCCAACAGATATGATTTATTAGATTTAATTTATGTAGCGAAGTGCAGTGAAATTAGCATTTCTGAGGAGCCAATTAAATCTGCAGTTTAAAGGAGAATATGAATGTTACCGGAGGTAAAGTAAAAGTAAAGTTTGCAGCAGATGTTATGTGACGTGGATAATTGGAAGATTTGTTTTTTCAAACTAAGTTAATGGATATAGGAGACACATTAAATCAATGTTTTGTCATAGAATCAGACAATGCCAATTAATTAAGTTTTGTCAAAGAGAAGACGCAAATCATTGATGTCAGTTGTCCAAATTGTAAAGTTTTAGAGGCTTTGTTTAAAAATAAATAGTGACAGCAACAGATCCCTGCTTAGGGTTTGGTTTATTACTAAAGTTCAACATTTCGAAGCAATAATTTTTGCATTCAATAAACCCAGACAACAACAAACATTAACATTCATATCACTGTAGAGTGAGAAATAATCACAAAGTCACATCCAGAACATAATTAATAATAATAATTATGATTTAAAGAAAGAGAGCTGTTTAAAATGGTTGTGAATGTTGCTGTTCACAGGTTTGATTTTTCTTATGAAGATGGTCAGTTAGAGTTAGAGGGTCAAGGTTAGGGGTTATAAGAGGGTTATAACATAAAAATTCAGTTCAGTCACTCATCTTTACTGTCAGGACTCAAACACACTGTATGTATGCATGCTGCAGCTTATTATGTGTTTTGACAATTGATCAATAATCACTGGAGTGAACATTTTTTTTGTTGAAAGGGGAGAAGGGAAGAGAATCTAAAATACAAACGTCCAGTCACTTCTTCAAAATGGTCAGAAGTTTGGTGCTCAATTATATCAAATAGAAAAACTTTATCTCACTGCTTAGTGTGTTGTTGATTCATATCTTACTAAATAACATTCAATCTCTCATCTTTAGTATTTGCAAAACATTACAACCAAAGGGTCTTCAATACTGGAAGGTGAAAATCAAATCTCTGACTTCATGGTTAAGTTCACAAATCTGCTTTGGTCTTGGTTTGTAAAACGTCAGACATTCTGTGGAGAAATATGGAGTTTATCTGTCTTATTGGTTGCAGCTCAGAAACCTTTGTGTTTGAGAGCACATACTCATATCATACCCCGGTGTGTGTTCTTGTAAAGTGCAATGATGTGATGAAACAAAAAAAATCCTTCACACTGGCTGTTTTTTCTTTTACTTTTACATTACCATCTGAACTGTGCTTGTGATGCAGTGTAAAAAGTCAGTGAGACCATTAAGAGACACCAGGGGTGAGCAGGATTAACTTGTTCAGTTGGAGAGACACATCATTAAGCATTTGAAGCATCAGCACAACATGCCCACATGTTGAACTTCCATAAATCTGTCTCTAATACTTTAGCAGACATGTTGATGCCTGATATTTTATTGATTTCTAGCAACCTTTTATGCTACTCTTTTGACCAGTTCTTGCATGAGAAAAAGAGGTTTCCAAACTTTGTGGGTTTCCAACCGAATTAAATCAAACTGAAATAAATAGATATGAAAGTTTATTCAGAAAAGATTGTGTTATTATTTCTTATTTCAGCATGGTCAGGCACTGACTGCCCATGAGTTAGTCACCACAGGGCAAAGCTGAAGTAAGTGACATAATGTCTTTCAATTCCATTTTTCAATTCTGAAAAATCTTGATGTGTCTTGATCTGCATATTGAAATCATCTTCCATACTTGGCAAAGTCTCCTTTCTTCTGATCCAAGCCCCATAAAATTACCTTGTGAAGATGAAAAGACTATTTTTTAACAATTCGCTTCTCAATGTGAATAGTATTATTGATAGTAGTAATACTGATGTTTTATATTAGCATATAAGGCAAATACAAAGGTAGGATCAGATATAAGGGGAACAAAGTGAGGCCATCAGACAGAAATAACTGCAACATGATACACAATTTAGTGGTGAAGGAGCACATCCCTGCAGTGATGGAGGCCTGATCTTAGGACACAGTGTGGAGCTGAAATGAAAGGGAGCTTTGATCACCTCCCCTCCCCTTCTGTGTGTGTCCCTGTGTGTGTGTGTGTGTGTGT